TTCCACCTTTAGTCTTGACTTCTTCCTGGTTAACAACAGCTTCAATAACATTATAACCAATGATGGGGTCACTGGCCACAGCTGGGTCACTGGATACTAATATTGGCACCTGCAACTCACTTACTGAAGAACAATCACTGTTTAACCTGAAGCTGACTTCTATCCAGCCTATGTAGGGGATGGGCGTGTCATTGGCAGCAAACACTGTAAGTGTATCATTATCTAACAGTTCTGAAACAGATCTGACCACTGTGTGGGGAAGGTGGTTCTGCCGCCAGTTTTCATTTATTATGCTGGACTGCGCCCCTGAATCCCACAATACTCTGACTGGTTGATTGTCCATAAAACAGTTCACAGTACATCTGTTACCCACCAGGCTTACCAACCGTGACTTGTGTTGAGGCGGTAGATAGCGAACTTCAGTTACAGCTGATGAGGTGCTTGCTGCTGTTTCACTCAGGGGAGGTGATGGGCTTGGCTGTTTGTTTTGGGACTCTTGGCTTTGGACTACTGCTGGTCCCATCTCAGTAGTCCCTCCCCGTTTCCCGTCGACAGTCTCTGTGCTCGGCATCCCCGAGAGTAGTGACCTTCTCGTCCACATTTGAAACAGTGCATACAGCTTTCTCCTTTCCCTTCTTCTCTGCACTTTTTACAACCTTTCTCTTTCTGTTTCGGTACCCGTGTGTGGGGATTGGTTTCCGTAACAGCCATAAACATTTGTTTCATTTCTTTACGTAGTTCTTCAATCATTTGTTGTGTGTCTGTCTTAGTCTCTTTACTTTTAACCGTCTTTACAGCTGCTTCTGTGGGAGATTCTCTGRGCTTAGAGTGGCTCTGAGCAGATGTTGGGGCTGCCTGGCATTMTGTTTGGAGCTCTTGTACTTTCGGAATCTTAGGTGCAGTGAACCTTTTTAGTTTCTCCAATCTTTCACTTTCTAGCTTTGAAGCTTCATTGACTTTCTCTATCAGTTCTTCATCTGTTATGGTCATGTCATTTAGAGAAGGCAGCAACTGRTTTCTGATACAGTCACTGAGCAGCCCAGTTTCAATTGAGCGGAGGAACTTGCGCTGGATTGTRGCTCTGCTGTACAGCTCATCAGTCTCTTCATTTGCTGCTTTCCATAACAGTTTCTCTTTAAGTTYGATGGCATGGAATACAAAGTTGAGGGCCGTCTCCTTAGGTTCTTGGGAGATATTGAGRAGCTGATGGTAAAGTTCAGTGGAACTGTCCAACTTATAGTGTCCTTTTAGTATGGTGAGCAGTTTACTAAGTGTCAACCCACGTTTTATCTCTAACATGTCTCTTAGGGGCATTCCTGGACTAATGGCCCTGATTACTGCTTCAACAATCTCAGTCTCTGAGTGTCCTTTTTCACTCCCGTTCTCAATCTGGCGGACTAAACTGAGGTAGGATAGTTTATCCTTTTGCCCATGCTCTCCAATCTGCCCACAGATTTTAAACTCCCTTCTAAGTGTTACCTCTTGCAGAGTTTTTGWTGGCTCYGTTTGGGTTTTGAGTGGAGGATCTGTCTTCTTTACTGGAGTGACATGTGGAGATTTGTTCTCAGGATGTCCCCTTGGCACAGATTCTGTTGATTGGGATTCATCTTTCGACTGAAAATCACTTTGGTTTAATCTCTGGATGAATGTGGCTATGTCTTTATAAAACTGTTCCACCTGATCATCGTCTTCACTTTTCTCAATCTCATCAAACATGCTTTCTGCCAGCCTAATGAGTGTCCTCCTGGTCTTGCTTTGAGGCTCTCCGC